CCTTAATGATTCTATGATTCTATGAAGGACGTGAACAGAGCTAGCTAACCTGATTTGGCCAAGACAGACATACATGGCATTCATGGCATGCTTGAGTAAAAACCTCTGAAGCATCAGCTAATTTATGTCTTGGTGAGACTTAATGACAGTGGTAAGTGGCACTGGTAACACTCCTCAAACTAAGCCCTCTCAGCATGGGCTGTTTGAGTCTTGGTAGGATCTTGGCCTTCAAATGGCCAAATTGGCTCTGAAAAATCACATTCAAGACATCTACAGTTCATGTTATCACACAGTTACTGGGATACTCTTAAGAATGCCATTTTGGGCTGAGTTTACTACTTTAGTTAACCACTGAACATGTAGCCAGTTTTGTGGAAACTCCAGTATCCTTTATCTGTGTGTGTGAGAGAGGGATCAACTCTGTGGTAACAGCTGATGGATAATATGAACCGAGGTCAGGATTCCCAGTGCAGAAAAAGTCTGCATGACCCTTTTCCAAATGTCCCCTGAGAGCTGCGAGGTTCACAAATGCAATGGCATTGGTGAGGATGGGGAAATCAGCCATGGGTTGGACCAGAGAAGAAGTTCTGGAGTCATGATCTGGAAAGGTCATAAGCTCAACTGAGACAAAGAATTAAAGATCCCATTAACTGAAGCAGAAGTGTTGGAGCTGATTCTGACCCTCCTTTTTTTAAGCCTTCAGTAAGGCACTGGTAGATCTTGGACTTGGTGTATTTTTCACCATGCAATACAAGCACTTTCAATCCTCAGGCCACGAACTGTACCAGTCAGGAACAAATTAAGCAACAGGTCAACACAAAAAAAAAAGTAAGGTAAAAGACAAAAGTATTTATGCCTGACAGTAAAGGCAATAAGGTTTAAAGACAAAATATTGTTAAGAAACAGTGGTAATACTCAGAAAAGTAAGAGCATTAAAATCAACCAGAAAACAAGACTGAATAGCTAAGGCTGCCATTGACAAAGATACAACAAAACATGTCAATTCTTATGTATGAAAGAATGGATATAGGGCAAAAGTAATCAATTTCTATACCGGGCATGACACAAGCAAACCTTCATAGGACTGCTAAGGCTATGTCCATCACAGAGTGCATTTGGGCAATAACTCAATATAATGTTGCAATGAAATTTATTAATGACAGAAAGCTGGGGGACCTTGTCAATATAAAGCATTGTAATATCATACAAAAACTGGATGACCTTGAGGATTACAGCAACGAAAACAGATTAAATTCAACAGTAGAAATGCAAGGTCATGCACTTACGGACTAATAATATTTCTGCCAGAAGATGGGAGTGACAGCTGGAAATAACACAAAAGGAGAAATACTAGGACACAGTCATTGATCACAAAGTGACTGTAAGGTCTAAAACTGACACTGCTAGGAAAATAAGCACATGTAAACTTAGAAAGTTTCAAGAGCAATTTTAGAGAGAAATAAGGAAATACTATTCTACAAAGCCATAGTGAGGTCTCATGTGGAGTTATATACACCTTTGACCAAACATTTTCTAGAAAGATTCATTCAAGCAGGAACAGGCAGAGAGAGCGGGCCTTGCTGGAGAACAAAAAAATTATCTTACAAAGGAGAAATGCTGCATAAGGCAGTGTCATACAGAGATACCCAGTTCAGGTACCAGAAATAGTTTAGGCATGTTATTAGAACATTCTGTTCACGGTAGTTACCCACACACAGAGAAAAGATATATGGTAAGGTAATTCGGCTTGCTTAGGCTAAAAAAATGAAGGGATGGAACATCTCCTGAGATGTAGAAAAGAACTATAGCAAATACGTAAGAAAGAAGACACAGAGAAAACCTAGTTACGCTATGTTACAGTGTTGACACACACAAAAAAATAAGCACGTCCAAAAAGACCACCACAACAACAACAAAAAAGTAATAAAATTATTTAGCCAGAAAGCTACAAAAGAGTTTCTTACAGTTTGATTAACAAAGATCTGGAGTAGCAATGGCAGCACTGCTTCATTTTGGTGCCACACAAATGGTCTTTCAAAAATGTGTTCAAAATGTACACATTTTGTTAGCCTGTTCAAACCCCATCAAGGCCAAAGAGATCTGTCAACCTTACGGAATACACACGTAAGTCTCAAAAATCTACTTTATCTGTTCTGAATGATGACACACAAAGAGACCAAAGAAGTAAAATTTTCATGTGTGGAGATTAAAGGGGGTCGCCTTTTTAACTTTTCCAATTTAATAACAGATTTAAAGAGCCCCCGTAACAGCCAAATTAAGCCATAAACATAAAACACTTGTGTTCTAAAGATTTGTTTTCCTTTTGAAATATTTACAACATGTATCTGAAGAGGGAAGGGGAAGAGAAAGTTACTCACAGCAGTTGACAGCCGAGATGCCAAGGTCATTTCCAAATTTCCTTTCAGACCAAGAAGTGCAGGAACCAAGATAAAAACTTCAGTAACATTCTTGAACACATCCCAGTGCTATTTAAAGGATACAGTGGGAAAAATTCAATTGAAAAATTCTCTCTCTGCAAAGTATTCAAAAAATTCTGTAACTCATAACATAAGCCTCTAAAAAAATCAATATTTTTATATTAGACCTACAAGTTTAAAGCCAGAACTGTTATCTATCTAGATAAAATAGATTTATGACTGCATACTACTACTTCAAAGATGAGAATACTAAAAGTAAGAGATATAAAACTTGGCCTTAAAACAAACCTAGTTAAAAAAAGATGTCATTAATTTGAAGGGTTTTTTTTTTTTATGACTTTAAAATAGTACCAGGTGCTATGACTGCTCTCGAATTCTGCTCTTAATTTACAATAATATTTTCATCTTTTCCCTTCCAACTGTGTAGAAATCTCACATAAAAACAGCGAGGAATTAGTTGTCAAATGGACAGGGCCTGTAAATGAAAAAAGCTTCTTTTAATTCTTTTACTTCTAAGTGTGAAATTTAGAAGAGTGCAGTTTTCCAAAACCCAGATTTTATAAGGCAAAGACAAACTCTCCCATAATCTTTTGTGTGTGCTGAGTTCTCAGCACAGAAATGCTGTGCTACTTTATCTGTCAATCCATGTATTGAATTTGTAATCATCACCTTTAACTAAATTAAAATAACAAAATTGTAAATTGTCTTTTTATTCAGGGATTTGCAATGATTTAAACTATTAATTTTAAAAATGATTCAATTCTCAAATGTAAACAAGATCTGAGAATTTCCTATATGTGAAGTTACATATGTATTTACTACTGGGAAAGAATAGCCATGAAATGTTTGTAAAAAAACAAGCTTAGAATGCTTTGCTGTCTTCAAGTTTTCATTTTCAAAACACGTTCTGTCACATTTCAATATCCTGCTGATATCACATTTATTTCATAGGAAACTGTTACTTTTAACTCCACTGAAATGCTGATGACATTTACAACTGCGTTAAGCTAGAAACCAGTCCTAAAAGTATTCCATGTCAGTAGGGTTTTAGGATATAATACTCCAAAAAGGTTTTAAAAATATTATTAAACTTAAATCTTAAAATTCAGAGAATTTTATCTTAATCCTGAATAACTACCATCAGTTAAGTCTGCAATCACAAACCAAGATAATCTGGCTTCTCTGGACCTAATACAATTATATTTCAAGGTGGACATGACTTCGCAGCCCTGTTCACAGTACTCACGTTTGTAATTCTGAGTGTTCAGTTTACCTAATGTTATATAAAAAAGTCACTTACATACACCTGAATATTCAAAAAAGCTCTCAATCACTTCATATGATTTTCATATAACATATGAATGTAATGCACATTTTCGTATACCATATGCATCATCATGGACCAAATCTACAAAGTATTTCAGAAATTGCATAGACTTGGAGCATACAAGGAGATGAGATAATGCAATAAATTCTTCTAATCTTTTTAAACTCCTGTGTATTGCGACATCACGGTTAACTACAACTTGCACTTGACTACGTACACATTTACTAGTGTCAACAGAATTTTGCATCATTACTGTGTTTCTATCCTTAGTTAAAGCAGAAGGTAACAGTTTTATTCACCAGCTCATTGTGGCTAAGTGACAACACTTAGCAAGACTTGAATGACTCCAAATTAAACACTGGAACTGTTTAAGATGAGGTTTGGGGGAAAGGAGTTCATAGTAGCAGAACCATACACAGACCTAATTACTCCTCAATATTGTAAACATCTACAATATCACGTTAGAATTATAAACGCCACAGACTACCTGTTAAAAAAAAAAAATCTTCCAAAGCAAATACCAACCTGCACAATATCCAAAACCATGCCAGCAGAAACTGTTCCAAATCCTGCTAGCAAAAAAGGAACAAGTATCTGTAATGCCATAATACTACTAGATTCTTTGGGTTGTTTTCTGCTCCCTTCCACAATGATATCTTCATTACTGTCACTAGATAGGTTGTCTTCCTGCAACATGGCATCTGTTTCTGAAGTGTCCATACCATCACAGTAATTATAACTGGTAAAATCATCATATTTAGGGCTACAGCTAGATGGGCTGTGTCCATTACTACCATGAAAACTTGGTTCTGAGAAGTGATGGTACTCTGTGCGTTGTTCAGACTTAACATTAAAATTGTGTCCTGCCTGTTGTAATCCATCTTGCCAGACACCATTCACTTTTTTGTGTCTTTCATCCTGGTTTATTTGGTAAACAACAGGAACCATACTCAAAAGCAGTCTCAAAAATTTATCGGACTGAATTGTATTAAGATTTATGGTCCAGTTTACAAAACCTTCTCTGTCATGAACTTTGCTATTTGTTCTGGAGATTGTAGATCTGCCTTTACAGTTAGTCATAGTGCTACAGAAGTACAGGTTGAAAAGCACTTTGTTCTTCAGACGTCAGTGAAGAAATCTTGTAGATGAGTCATCAAGTGCCACACTCGATGATTTTAAAACAGATAAACCAAAATGATCCTTTTTTGCATGCAAAAATGTTTTTTCATTGATCTCAGATCTTCAACAATTCCATAAGCAAGACTGGATCTGCAAAAAAGTAAAAAGTATATATTCAAGCTTTAAAATAAATCTACAGAAGACACAAGATACTGGTTTAAATTTTCAGATCACCCCGTATCTTTCCAAAGCAAGTATTTGTAGAAATGCCAATCTCCTCCAACATTCAACTGCCTAAGTTGAAAGAAATTAGAAGGTAAAAAGGGAAAGTTGGTGGGTGAGGAAGTTTCACAAATCGGGGTACTTTCCAGTGAAAGAAAGAGACAGCAACGTGGACTGTAAGTGAATTGGTGAGGGCCTAGCTTTTGCCTTTTTAAAGCCCAAAAAGTCAAAATCTTCAGGCAGATACTGTCTGTAGCCCTAGATTTCCAGTAGCCTTGAGAGCAGTAGGTCCCCAGAGAAACGTCCTTCTGCAAGGTGCAAGGGTATGGACAAATGGAACCCACATGATGCACTGTGGGGCCACTGTTGTTCCTCCCACTTTATGCTAATGGAAAGGAGCACGGAAAAAACAGGGAAAAAAACCCCTAACTTTCAAAACACTATCAGAGGTGGCAAGCCGGAAGCAATATTCTGGGTAGCAAAGGCCTTATGTGTTGACGGTCCCTACCCTCCATCCCTTTAAAAAGATGACAAACCGATATTGGTATGTACGATTCAAAAGCATGCTATTTTAAAATCACAGTAACTGAATTTTCTCTGAAGCAAGCATACAAATTGTGTTAAATATAAAGACCTCCTGTATACATAGTAAAACTGGACATTTTTTCATAAAATACTACAATATCAAGGAAAGGAGACAGTAATGAAATTCAGACCAATTAGTCTAAAATAGTTTAAATTAGTCTAATTTAAAAATAAATCTGCAGTACTATATTCATAAATATGGCATATTAAAATTTAATTAAAATTAGAAAAAATGTTAGGAGTTAGCATAATTAAAATAAAGATATTAAAATTCTGATTTTAATTTAATTTTGCATGAGGTTTAGGTTGCAGATATTTCCTGAAAGACAGGTTATTCTGATGTCTGGTAACCACTAAAATGTAAAATGTAATTATTTGATCAATATTAACTCTTGACGTGGTCAGTTTGTTTTGCTTTCTGCAAATCGTGCAAATACAATATATCTTTTATGTTTAATGTGATTTAATGTGCATTTATTTCTACTTTGAAATTTCCATTATGGTAGAAAATTAAACAATTAATTATAATATATATATTATATATAGCCTCAAGTCATTTGACATTTCCTCCATCAGAAGCCACTTTACCTTCCTCTTCTTCAGTTTTCATGTTGTGATAATAGTTATGGTAATTTACGAAAAGAACAACAGTTTTCATTTGACTTGAAGATTTGTTGACTTTGGTATTTATTACTAGACTCCATGAATACAGGTAAACGATTGTCAAAAACAAAGAAACAAAGGCCAGGCAGACCACACCAGCATGATGTGGGATAACACAATTCCACAAGCTCAATTTCCACACTGTATCTGTGCAAAGCTGGGAAAACATAGTTTTACAGACTGCAGGAAATAAAAATAGTTTAGGCTTAGAGGATTTTTAATGTATTTTTCCTGAGAAAACAAGGCTCCTAAGATCATATCATTTATGTTATGATCCCTATACTTCCCCTCCCTCCATTTCAATGTTTTTAAGTCATCCAATATTTCTGGAGCAATTTCAGATAGATTTGACAGAGAGTAGAGATGTCAAAGCTTTTAGTAACTAACGGCCTTATAAGAGACCTAAATTTGTACCCTTGCCGTAAGGCATCTTCAAACATTAGTTAGGATAATTCACTCATATATGGCCACAGCAAGTCCACTTCAAAAGTCCCGCTGGTCACAGAATTACTTATTTTGTTTTTGTGAGTGAAGAGACGACTCAGACGCAACATGAAGATTTTCCCTCTATCAATGGCTTCATCCAAGGGAGCTCTGACCAAGAAACAAATATTTTAAAAATTACAATGGAGTTTATAACTTGATTTAGAAAGAAGTCAAGTTTTGCAAGAAAAAGCAATCTTTTATCCACAAGGCCAGCAGAGGAATTTAAGTAATCAAGACTCCTGCAATATCTTTTGCCGCTCTGTAGAGGATTGTGCTACGTTGAACCTTTTAGCTTAAGTGCATAAAAACTCCTAGGCCACAATTCTGGTTTCCACACACTTTAATTAGGAGTAACAAAACAACTTTTGCTGCTATCCCAGAGGAGCTCTAACCACAGGCCAAAATGGTGCTCTGTTAAGTGCTACAGAAAGACAGAAAAAGAGGAGGTAATTTTGTTTCTTCCTGGCCCAAAGGTGGCATTATCTAAGTAAAAGAAACAGTACATTAAAAAAAAGACAAGCAGAAGCAGATGTATCATTAAACTAGCAAACTAACTATTATCAACTTCTATGACAACAGCAAAGAGCTTTATAGAAGGATTAAGAGGAATACAAGAGAAGAGAAGTTAATGGAAGTTGAGGAAAATTAAAATTTCAGGTAGGGTATAGCCTAGGGTGCTGAAGGTTGCCAACTGATTTATGAGGATGCGAAGTGGCACGCAACTTATGAAGCTTGCAGAGGGAAAACTTTGGATCACTTTAGCTGGCTGAGTTTCGGCTGGTCACAAGAAACGTTATGACAGAATTCAAGAACGGGATGTAGAATTAAAATGTAAAAGTGTTTGTGATGAAAGACACGTACTTAGACCCACAGCAATCTCACTGTTTTTTTTGGGGGGTGGTGGGTTTTTTTGGGGAGAGGTGGAGGAGTAACAAATGAAGGATTTTATTTCACTCACGGGGAAATACATTGAGAAAATTTCCCAATAGTTTAACAAGGCAGAGTCTGGCTCTCATAGTGGTTTCTCCAATATGTCCTCCAGTCACATCACCAGAGTGCTAGACCAGTGACTCATGGAAATTATTCATTGTTCTGGAACTCTGGCCAAAAATATTTGGGTTAATTATCCATATTTTTCTAACATATGGACTTTTTTCCTTTTAAATTTTTACTATCTTTTTTTTAAGAAACAAATCTTTTGGAAATATTGCGGTTTCATTTAATATGAGAAAGTGTTTAACAAATAGAAATGGCACTTAAAAGAAAAAAAAAAGAGGAACAGAAAAATAATTTGGTCAACTAGCAAGTTACAAAGGGAGGAAGAGGTTGGCATGGATGGCTAACAGTTGAAATAGTACAAAGCAGTTTGGGTGACAGTAATTTATGTTTTTCCTACCAAAAAGACTTGGAAAGACAAAAAGTGAGCTAATGGTAAGTGCTGAAAAATGAGAATTTAAGAAGACAAACTGAAAAATATACTATACAGTGAAGAGTAATCACTTTCTCAGAGCATACAGAGAGGAGATAACTATGAAGCCTTCTGAATGTAACTATTCATTTCTAAAAACCTGTTCCAACAAAGATAATTTTCCAAATGTCACCTGATGCAATAATTTTATCCCGAGTTATGGGATGCTAATATTGCTGTACTTTTAGGGGTTTTTTTTGTACCTATAAAATGCAGCAAACCATCTAAGGAGCAATATGATCTCAGGGACAAGAACTCCCTAAGAAGCTTGACAAGAACAATGCCAATTTTATTGTGTTGTCCAGAAAAGATACAGCCAGCTATAGAAGCAAGCTCTACTTGAGTAACTCATATGAGGAAAAGGAGGTAAAAATCTCAAAAATCCCATCCCCAGTTTCTGTAGGATGAGGAGATAAGTGAATCTGGTTTCTTGCCATATAATCAGGAGGTTACAGAGAAAGGTGAAGTACTAAAAAAAGGAAAAGAGAGAGAAAAGATCCTTTGAGAAACCAGGAAGCAGCCTCAAATTTATCCTACCTGGCATGTTATATATGAAATGAAAGGACACCTTGTCTTTGTCCCTACAAGCAAAATAATGAGCTATATCCAGACTATGAATATAATAATTTCCACTTCTTTATTGCTTCCTAAGTACCTACTCTTAATAGTTTCTTCTTTTCCTTCATACATTTTATAACACATAACAATTACTGTGTATTGTTCACTTCCCTTTCTCAGTCTCCTGCAAACACACACAAGCATAAACAAATAGTCCTGCAAACATACACAAATAGGAAATACAGCCATACCCTGCTGTTTGCTGAAGACCTGTTCCTGAAAAGTGAGACACTTAGCAATCCAATGGATAACAAACCAATTTTCCCCATAAGAATTAATACAATTGATGCATACAGGCATTTAAAAAATACAGACAGAGACAGTATACACTATGTGGAAAATGGACAGGGAGAAGCAGATGATGTGGAAAATAGACAGGACCATGAGCTGGAAGAGATGCTGACTTTCGGAAATGGATAGCTGCTTTAGAAAAATCTCAGATACTTCAGCTATGAAACCGAACACCCGATCATTATCACATTTTTCCATCCTTCACCCTTGATTGGCTTGATTGGTCTTGATTCATCTGAGGAAGATGACAAGGAAAATGTAACTGTTCAGGAAGAGGCAGCAAAAACGCTCTTCATTATTACCCAAATGAATTGCCAACATTGCTTCAGACACACTCATGATTCAGTTCTCAAGAGCATGGGAAGGAGATGCTTCTTCCATACTTTCCTAAGGTCTGAAGAACATCCAGCACTAGCAGGATTAAGGGACTGGATTCTACAGCTAAATTTGATCATTTAGTGATTAGACTGCTGATAATTTATTTAAAGCATGAAAACAATTAGTAATTAAATCACCGTGCTTTTTTAAGTACCTTCAGAAAAAGGGGAAGGGGGAAGAGTGGTGAATCGAGTATGAAACTTTTGTAGAGTCAACATTATGACAGGCTAAAACAAATATTTATCAAAGTCTAAGCCTAGGAAAATTAATTTCTTTCAGAGTTTAGCTAACAAGGCTAAAAAATAACACTTATCTAAATGATACTGAGGGCTTTCACAGGATCTAAATCTAATCACACCATAGCCAAAACCCATTTTTCCTACAAGCTGCAAACA